GGGGACAGCTTGAGCCTCGCTTACGTACTTCGCTTGGGTTTTGGAGTAACCCCGGAGTTACTCCGTACTGGCAGGCCATCCGCGTATCCCTTGCCCCGCAAGCGAAGCGAGGGATCAGCTTGCAGTGCCGGGAACACCCTGCAGGTAAGGCAAGGAGACTGTCCCTGCCGGAAGGCCGGCCTTCCCGCCACTTTATCTGCCGGACCTTTATCCCCACGACAAGGAGTACTTTAATTTTCTGCAAGGGCAGGGAGGGTGCGGGGAAGGCGGAGAGCCAGTCGAACGAGTCCTTCAGGGCCAGATGAGTGAGCGGCTGAGAGTCCGGTCCTTGGGCTGTTATCACGACCGCATTTCTACACCTGTCCATTAAGCACACGCGGCTCTCGGCCACCACAGGGCATGTGGGTGTCCTTCAATCTCTTCCCGCATCCAAGGACAGCGCCATAGAAACATGGAAACAGAGGCAGAAGGGGCCTCCCGGGCCATCTAGTCTGACCCCTGGCTCCAGCCGGCTCCGCTCACGACACGAGGCTGGCACCGCCACGCCTCGCTGGAGGGGACAGGGAACGGGCGGCAGGCAGCCATCTCAGCTTTGCTGCCAGCCACGCCTGGTGGCACAAGCGTCGTTTTTAGTGGCATTTGTGGCTCTTGGCGTGCCTCGGGTCACCCTGATGCTGCCTGCCCATCACGGCCATCTTACAAGGGATGCCCCGATGCTGCCCTTTCTCCTCCAAGCACTCCAAGTGGCTTTCTTCAAGGACAAGTCACAGGTGAAGGAACATCTGAGCCCACATCTGAGCCTGTTCAAGTCCCATCTGCCACGACACGGATCGTGTCCTTGGTGGAAGAGTGGATCTAAAAACAGCCCTGGCAGCCACCCCCAAACCGTGGCGCCGGTCCATTTCCACCAGACTCATGCAACCCTACCCTAATCCCCCCACCCAGGTGGCGTCCGTGAGAGTCCTGCTCCTCTCCATTTTTACACGACAACCCTGTGAGGTGGGTTAGGCAGAGAGCCAGTGGCTGGTTGCAAGTCCTCCGGTGAGCTCCACAGCCGAGCAGAGACGTGGACCTGAGTCTCCGCAGTCCAAACCTAACCACTAGGCCCCACTTCTGTGGTCCTGTGTGCCATAATGTGTTGGGTACAGCACCTCTTGACCTTGAATCTCGGCCCTTTGATCCTTGAACATCCCCCAAATAGACAAGGCTCGTTTCTAGCGAAAGGCTTGTGCATTTCACCACAAAAGCTCGCCTGCGCTCTTCTAGCCCGGGGAAGTTCGGTGCCGTTTCTCTCCGGGGGTCAACACCGCGTCCTGAGTCGTGAGGAATATTTTCGAAATGGGCTGAGGTGCTCCGTGCCCACCCAATCCATGTTTTTATTTGGAAAGTTGTGAAGAAACGACAGGCTAAGGTGTGAGGAGCAAAGGGGAGCACGGCCTTCCCGGGAAACGCAGGTGCAGAGTTGAGCGGGGGGTGACCCAACCAGCCTGCATTTGGCATGACAAGAAGGGGGACCCCCTTCCCTGTGGGGCATCGATCCTATCGATTAATGCAACCCAGGATCCGCCCCGCCAGGAGGTTCCCGTGCCGCCTGAATGCCACTTTCTTTCCTCGCTTTGTACATCTGGTTACCGGACGGCCTAAACATGAACTGAACCGGGGTGGAATCGCAGGTGTGTGCTGCTAGGTAGAGCTGACAACTAACTCACGACACGCCCCGGGACGGAATTGCAGCTCAGTAGCTTGGAGACAGAAACATGGCGACGCTTTTTGCTGATCGGGACATTGCTGCTCCTTGTTTGCTTTGTCATTCCGCCTCCGGGCCCTTTCTAGCCTGTCAGCTGCGTCTTCACGGGCTGCCAGGACAATCCTGTTTGTCATTTATCAGCCTGTACGTTTCGAGCGTACAGTCCGTCCTTCGTCTCTGCCTTGGAAACCTCGCCCCACCCCTTCTGCAACAGTGCAGCCGGTTCTGCGCCCCACATCTCGTCGCGCCCCACGCAGAATTGGAGATGGGGGGGGTGCGCCTCCGCCCGACCCCCCAGTGCCACCCACCCGGGGCTGAGGAGGGGACGTGGTGCAGGCCCGCGTCTACACGGGCGACTGCGTTGTGGGCAGCAGGGGCGCTCCAGCTCCCCTCCAGAGGGAGGTTGTGCAAAGGGGGCTTTGGGGGGGGGGGGGGAGCCAAGGGCTATGGGCCCCGGGCAGGGAGACCTTTTGCGTCCGGCTGGTGTTCGGGCGTTGCTCAGTCCCACCTAGGGATGGGTTGTTTGCACCCGAGGAGGCCCTGTGCTTGCTCCCCAGCCTCACCCGCCACATACTGAAAAACCCCAGCGACCTGGAGGAGGCGAGGTGGGCCCCGCAGCTGCTGCTCTGTGTCTTGGTCCTGCCCCCCCCGACCGCACCACCCCCAACCCAGACCTCACCCATGTATCCCAGTCCCAGGCAGGCCTGCCTGAGGCCCCGAGAGGAAGAGCGAGGGAGACTGCAGCTGCCCCGTCCGTCCGTCCGTGGGCCCAGGTGCGAAAGCCGCTGGACGGGCCGCCTGCTGCTGTGCGGTGGTGCGCTCCCTGGCCCCGGGAGGCAGCGATGGTGCTTAAGGGGGCGCAGGACAGGCGGTGGGCGAGCACCCCCTGCAGCGCCTGTGTCTGAGGGTCTGGCCCCGTGCTGGGCCGGCTCCCCGCTCTCGGGCAGGCAAGGGGCTGGAAGAAGAGCCAGGTGGGAAGGGAGAGGAAGGGCCTGTACCTTGCGGGGGTGACGGAAGGACCTGAATGACTTCGTCCTTTTTCACAAAGTGCGGTCCCAAGTGTGTGTTGCCAAGAGGTGCCCTCCAGGCGGGTTGCCTTCCTTGCAGGGGCCCCCTTCGGGCCAGCTTGGCTCGGGCCGACGGGAGCCCTCGCCCGAATCCTGTGGGAGCCCCTCGGGAGAGACCCACCTCGTGCGCTGACCTGGAGGCGAGTGGCTCGGAGCTCCGTGGGGCCTGCTTCTCAGTCGAGATGCGCAGGACTGCCCTGCAGGGGTGTGAGCGACGTTCTGTGGGTTAGTTCAAAACCTCTGTCTGTGGAGCTGTTTCGGTTCTGTTTCGGTTGCAGGGACGGGGACGTCACGTGGGGTTTATTTCTGTACTGCCCCACAGCTGGTGCTCCCGGCGTGGGCTCACAGGGCCGCGGTGCTGCACCCCGACACGGCCCAAACGCACCTGTGAGGCGTCCGCACGCTCGGTTCTGCAGGGGATTCCGGAGCCAAAGCGCACTGGACTTCCGGGCGAGCGCGCATGGGGTCAGGCGTGCAGCCACGGGCCCTCGCCCAGAACCTCAGTCCCTGGTCTGTGGCGGCTCGGCTGTGCGTGCCCTCTGCACATGCTCAAGGCAGCACATTCCTCGTTGGGAAGCCGCAAGCCAGTCTCCACGCAGGTGGGACAAGTCCGCCCCCATGCCAGCCTACGCCATTCAGGCCATGGTCAGTCCTAACTGCAAAGAAATTAAACGCGAGGAATGCAGCCGTCGGACATTCCTCGGCGTTCCCGAGCGGCTGCAGGAAGGGCGCGCCGGCAGCCCGGAGGAACGGACCTCCACCCGGACCGGCCGTTGGCCTTTCTCCTGGACGGATGGCTGCTTCAGGATGCTCAGCGGAGGAGAACGCCCTAAGGTGCCCGTCCTCCCTCCGCCTCCCGGGAAGGCTCAGGTGCGGAAGAGGGAGCTGTGAAATGGAAGCACTCGGTGGGCGCGAGAACCACAAGGGGGGGTTTCAAACGGTTCAGCACCCCCAGCCGCTGCCAGTGCGAGGCCCGTGCTGGCGAATCAGACGTCAGCCCCTTGGAGTCAGAGGGCTAGCTGGGGATGCTGGGGGTTGCAGTCCAACATGTCTGGAGGGTGCTGGGTTGTGGGAGGCTGGCGCTGAGGACTGGAAACCGCCGGGATGGGGGTGGAAGGACGGAGAGCGAAACGAGCAGGTCAACCTGTCGGGTTAAGTGTGTCAAATATGAGGAAGGAAGTGTCCCGGCTCCTCCGTGGCCTCTGCCTCCCCGAGCAGGCTGCCAATTTCCTCGTCTCTGCGCGTGGGGGTAGGCAGAAAAGGAAGCGCGGAGCTTCATTTGACTGCAAATATCTCAACCCATATTGTGGACCCAAGCAAGCCCCACTGAGTAAACACACCAACCAAGCAAGCAAAACACTTGCCAAATTGCTCCTCAGGGTGCCAAAGGCTCTCTGCCTGTGCTCAGAGGCACTCTTCCACCTTGGGGGGAGTGCTGAAGCATCTCTGAAAAAAGAACGAACTTCGATTGCCCCAATCCAGGTGCATTGGGCTAGGATTCCAGTCACTCCCAGCTGGCATGATCCATGCTCACTGGGGGTGATGAGGCTTGTAGTCACGCATCTGCTCACTTTGCGCTTGCTTTCCAGTGGCGCTCAAGGCCGCTCACAAGAGCGAGAATGAACCAAGGAAAAATAAAATATGCTGTATTAGGGCCCTCCACGAAGCCCCCGGGGGGACTTTGGGTCGGCCTAACCTACCTCACAGGGCTGCTGTGAGGACATCGGAGCAAGAGGTCGGGGAAAGCGGGGAGCGGGTGCAATCCGCGCCTGGGTGGGCGCCCCCCTTCCCGCTTCCCGGCACGCCACGCGGCGGGGTCTCCTCCGCGGAAAACCCTCGCTGGGCAAAGCGCGAGGGACGCGTCCCCAGGCCGGGCGAGCCGGGCGGAGACGCATCTGCATAGTCATGAGCGGGGCGGGGCCTGGAGGGCGGGCGGGGCGGGGCGAGGGCCGCGCGGAGGGCGATAAATAGGCGCCCGGCGCCCTGCTGCCTCCTTCCCTCGCGCCGCAGCGCCGCCCGAGCATCTTTTCCGCCCGCCCGCGCCGCGCTCACCTTTCCCCGCGCCCGCCCGCCTCGCTCTCCCGGCGCCCTCTGCCCCTCGCGGCGCCTGCAGCTCGGCGCCCCCGCCCCGCGGCTTAGCGCCCCCGGCCCCGCTTCGGCCCTCGGCCCCTTCCCGTCCTCCCGGCATGGCCGTCGAGAAGGAGAAGAAGAGCTGCGGGCAGGTGATGGCGGAGTGGAAGGAGTTCGTCTGGAACTCGCGCACGCACCAGTTCATGGGGCGCACGGGCAGCAGCTGGGGTGAGTGCCCCGCGCGCCCCCCGGGGGGCAGCCGGCGGGTGGGGGGCGAGGCGGGGGGGGGCGGCGCTGGTGCATCCTTGGTCGGGGAGGATTTAATGACAAGATAGTTCAAGGACCTTCCGCAGCCAAGCTGGATTATTTAAAGGGGGGGATTAGCGGCGGCTGGGCGGAGGGCCACGGCGGCAGAGGGATTATTTGGGGGGATCGGCGGGGGGGGCCGCCTTCCTGGGGAGCCCGCTTTGGACGGGAGGGAAGGGAAGCAGACGCAGGAACATCGCGTTCCCCGGAGATGGCGGGGTGCTTCTTAGAGGGGGGCTTTTCGGGCGCATTATGTAAGGGGCGTTCCGCTGGCTAAATAGGAGATTGTTCGCCGGGGTAGGAGCGGGTTTGCTCTTGGCGGATGCAAAGGGGCTGTTGGGGGTGGGGGGTGGATAAGATGGAGGATCTGGGATGGAAGGCGTCGGTCCGGAGGGGGGCCAGCGTCGCGCAGGACCCCTGAAAACAGCCTGCGCGGCTCTCGGTAACGCAGGACTGGATGCGAAGGAGCGCTGTGCTTAGTTCAACGTATGCGCGTGTATTTATAGATGATAGACGGGCAGGTCGGGATGAGAAATATTTTTATTCTATAGGGATTCCTCTTGCGAGGAGAAAAGCTGGGATAGAAATTGCTATGGCAATATTTAAATTATTTCTTGCAAGGAGAATAAAAATGCTGACGTTCTACTAATGCCCCAGTTCTAAAATAATGAGCGTTCTGTACAGAAGGGGGAATTTTGTGGGTCCGTCGATTGCAGTCCCCACAGAAGCAAAGGTGGGGGAAAGGCCATTCTGCGCTGGGGGCAAATGCGGAAAGCCCCCCCCCCCCGGGCCCCATTCCACAGCTCAGTTGGCAAAATATGGTCGGGAAAGAAATTGACTTGATGGAGCAGGGGCAGAATGAAACTTTTGCCCAAGAGGGACCCCCCCCCCCGAAATCAAGTGGGCAAAATTGTACTTGTTCTTCAGAAATGTTGAGATGGGGGGCAGGGTTGGGTAAGATCCTGCTGACTCCACACAAGAAGAAATGTGGGGGCAAAATTAATACGTGTTATGAGAAAATAAAATTCTGGTGAATTTGGGGGGGCTAGAAAGGAAGGGGTGCTCTGGGGGGGGTGATTTATCCAGGCTCCTGAATGAGCACAGGTGGGGGTGCGGAGCGTTTGCCCAGAAAGGGGGGCACTTAGATTATTGATGGTGAAGACGTGGGAGGAAAAAAGATGTGAATAAACTGAGGAATGCTCAGTTAATATGGGGGGTACATAGTTTGGGGGTGTCTGTTTGAGCCTGAATTTTCTTGGTGGGAGGTCTCCAGTGATCACATTGTGTTCAGGTGTGGTTACAGCTTGGGGGGGGGGGAGGGGGCCAAGGGGGGGGGGTGCTGGGGGCCCAAAGGTTTTTTTTGGGGGGGGGGTGGCTCTCACCTTACTCCCCCTTTTAATATGGATGCAGGAAGGAGTGCGCTGCCGCCACCACTGAGCAGAACAGAAAGTAGGTCATTATTTTCCTTCTGCTGGGCTGGCCAGCAAGTCCCCTTCCCCCCTGCCTACACAGCTTGTCAACAACCCCCCCCCCCGGCACGGGGGGAGGGGGCTTTGCTGGCCGCAACTTCTGTTGTGCCCCCCGCTTTTCTAGTCCCCTTCCTTTCATGCACCAGCTCTTTGCCAAATGTCAATCCCCCCCCCCCCCCCCAAGCACAGACTTGTTTATCCAGCACACCTCTCCCCTCCTTAGACCCCCCCAAATCTGCAGACGCGCTTGGGGTTGACGTGCTGCCCTGGCCTGCTGTGTTTTGGGCTCCCTCGTTCCTGCTTCACCCCAGAAATGGACCTGCCTCTGCGAATCCCAGATTGGCCCTTCCCGCATGTCCCTGTCCCTCCGCCCCCCCCCATACTATTCCCTCTCACGGTGTCCCCAAATGAACTGCCAGTGGCTACAAAGGGGTTTGATTTGGGGTGGAGGGCATGCGGGGGGGGTGGCTGACATCTTGGTGCAATAAATGGGGTGGAAAGCGGGACAGAACGCGTGGGGTGGGGGGGAATGAGTGGGTAGATTGGGGAGGGATTCTCAGAGGGGGGAAATCCATCCTCTGGAGATCCGCGGTACAAGCCGAAAAGTCGGAAGCATCTGGCGTGTAGGTGGTCTTGCTCCAAATTTACCTGTCCGCAAAGTTATTTTGCAAAGCCTGCAACTCCTCTGGCAGACTCTGTGCCCCCCCCCCATTTTCCCGCTAGCCTTCTCCACAAATCTGACTTCCCGGCCTGCAGTTTGTGGCCCCTGCACCGGTCCCCCCCCCCGCCCCCGCAGCCTCTTCTCCATCTGCAACACCAGGCCTGGCTCTCGCCATCTTCCTTCCATCCAATTCATTTTGGAGCCGGGCGGAAAATGCTGCACCCCCCCCCCCAGCGGGAGGACTTTTGCCCCACAGCTCTGCGTGTGGGGGCTTTGCGCTTGCTGGCTCGGCCCCATGTCTCACGAGTTACGACCTGCTTTGCTTCGGAGGCTCCTCAGTGCGTGCTTTCGTCGGTTGCAGTGCGGGGGGGGGGGCAGAGGAGCTCTTTGGAGCCCAGCTTGTCATTTGCTGCAGGAGCCCCCCCCCCCCGTCACTGCAGTAGCTGATACTGATTCGAGGCAGGGAGAGAGGAGCAGAGCCCAAAGCTGGCTGCGTTTTGTCGGCTTCCTTCTCGGCTTGGCAGCGGGTTCAGCCTGCTTTGGCACTGCAGAGAAGGGGGGGAGCTGGCACCGGCTTGGCCCGGCCTTCTGCAGCTGGCAGAAAAGGGGGCACTGGCCAGCAGGAGGGACTCGGGGGGGGCACAGGAAGGCCCCAAGGAATGGGGGAGAAGCATGGAGTCCCCACGTCTCTCCTCTCCCGCTTGCGACCAAAGGTTTTTTATTTTCCGGAGAAAGTTCTCCGGTGTTGCCCAGAGGCAAAATGGAGCGCCCTCGGAGGCCGGGTGCCTTCCAGACACCCTGAGCCTCAGCTCCCATCTGCCCCAGCCAGCGCGTTGCCAGATGCTGCTCAAGGACGGGAGGGCCCCGAGCTGCCTCCCCAGCGATCCTAAAGGGAAGGGGGGAGCTATCGCGGTGCCGCCCGCCCGGGCCGTGGGTCGCTGGGGCGTCCGCGGAAGATGCTCGGCAAGGCACCCTCCCAGTCGGTGGGGCGGTCTGGCACATTTTGGGGGAGGTGGGACCCCATCTCTGGTGGATGCTCACCCAGAGGAGGCAGAAGAGGTCGGGAGGATGAGAAAGGTGGCCTTAAGGCCCGGGAAGGGGGCGCCTGCGGCAGGTGGGGAAGCTGGAGGAGACGGAGAGCCCCCGCCCGGCTTTCGCAGCCCTTCCTGGCTGTGCAGAGCTCGCGCTGGGGGTGCGAGCCGGTCCCTCGCGCGTCGGCTCGGCCTTCCCGGCCGCGGTTTCCAGGGCCAAGGAGCTTCCGAACATGGGCCTGGAGGTGCGGGCGATGCAGGGGAAATTTGGGCCAATTGTTCTTGGCACGACTTGGCCCACCGAGTACCGATAGCCATTTAAAGAAGCCGTCTCTGACCAGGTGCCCCCGGGTGTGCTGTATCGCAGCTCCCGTCATTCCCAGCCAGCACAATTAGCAGCAGTGGATGGTGGGGTCTGTAGTCCAGCACACTGGGAGGACACCTGGTTGTGCAAGGCTGGCTCTGAGAATCTTCACTTGGCTCCCCGTTGAGCAGCATGACCTGGGCGTGTGCCCCAAGCCTCTGGCACAGAATTTTGCCTACCTTTTGCCCTAAAGGTCATTAAGACCCCGAGGTACCATCCCTGCGCATTCCTCGGCCCCGAATGGCTTGCCGCAGGTCGATTATTTACCGCAGTAACTGCACGTTGGCCTGTTCAGGTGTGTGATCAAGGTGGGGGGCTGAAGTTTGCCGGCCAGGCCCTCGCTCCCTCTGGCCCGGCCCGGCCTGCACTGCCCGCTGCCCCTCCTGGGCGATGCCGCTGCAGCCTGAACCCGGGACCTTCAAGGTGCAGGGGAGGTGCTTTGCCCCCCTCCCCTCCTGTGTATTTTGCATGCCGGCCTGAAACCGGTTCCGGCTGGGGCTGCCCGTCCTTTTCCTTCCTTCAGCTTCGCTCTTGGTTCTTCCTGCCGTGGCAATTCGCACCGCTCCATAAAGGAGGCCTGCTGCTCCGAAGGGATGAGGGCCGGTCCATATGTCCCCACAGCAAACAATGAGTTAATTAATTAACCCGGGATGTGCCACGGGCTTGTTTCCCGGCCTCTGTTCTGGGCCAGCTGGAGGCTGCTGAACCGGGATCGGGGTTGATCTGCCAAAGGCCACCGAGCGAGGATCTGTGCTTGGAGATATTGGATGCAGGGCCCCGGGACCCTGCCAAGGGAGGGAGAATGAGTCCCCCAAAATTGTAGGTCAACTGTGGGCTGTTCCCTCTGATGTGTGGGTCAGGACTATTTCTCAAAATTGTAGGTCAACTATGTGTGGCTAGCCTATATTGAATTAAGGTGTTGTAACTTGGGGTTGCGAAATGTGGGTCAACCTTCTCCATGCCCACAGATCCTCACTGGGTGCGGTTTGGCATCAGCCACTTCCTTTTAGCCTCAGTGCTCCCATCTGCAAAATGGCCGTAATTGCACTGTAATGGCAAGGCCGGTGGCTGCTGACGTTAACACAGCCTGCTATTTTCACAAAGCGCTTGTGCCTGGGGAGAGTTTGCATATCCTGTGAGTCCCAGGCATAAATGTTGAGTAAACCTTGGGTAGTTGCCGGGAGCAGCTCTGTTCTAGCCAGCCGTACTGTTGAGTAACTTTACTCAGTCGTAACACCGTGTCGCCCCTGATATTTCTGTGCTTTTACCATGACAAGGAATATTGCGTGTGAGCTTAAAAGTTGCCCCCTTAGTCACCACTCTGTTCCACAGGGATTTCCAACCAATTAAATATATTTTTTGATATTATACTCCAACTGCAAGTGACTGAGAAGCAAAATAAAGGTGGGTAGTTCACAACCTCAGCCAAGGAGCTTGTCCCCCAGGATTTCTGAATGCTGCAGCATCTTTTCTTTTTCCTCTTTGCATTTTTCCTGCAAAGTTTCTCTGTGCTTTCCAGAGGTGTTGGAATGCAACCTCCATTATCCCCAGCCGGCATAGGGATGATGGGAGTTGGGGAAGACTGTTTAAAGATTGTACGCTCCTTGAAATCATCTCTTTACTTTCCGTTCCTCTATAAAATGTCATGGATGCTGAAGGAGATGAGGAAGACTTAAAAAGCGCTTTTCATGGTCACCTGAAAAAGGTGTTTCAACCGTTGTTTTTCCTTAGAAAATTCCAGGTTGGCGCTCATGAAAAGACCACTCGGAATTCTGACGACCCAGCTTTTCACCAATATTCCTTTGGGAAAGCTATTCCTTAAGGGGCATTACAAATTCAAAGCAATCCTGTGATTTTCTCCTCACGGGCAGGCTGTCCTCCAGAAATCAGGGGTCTGTTTTGCACAACTTAACTGCCTCCAAATTAAAAAGAGGAAAAAACATCTTTAGAGCTTACGGTCCATTTTTCCTTCTAATGTGTTGGTCCGTCGGAACTGAAAAGCCAGAGGAAGAGACGGGATGCTGAGAACTTCGCTCTCCTGGATTCCGTCCCCAGGCAGTTTCTAACTTGGCCTCCTCAGGTTCTGGCGGCCAAACCAGGATGTTCCTTGGCTACCTGTTGATCAGAGAAAAGCCCAAGAAGGTTATTTGGTGTGTAAATAAGGAGGGAAAACCCTGCAAGGCTTAGGTAAAAGCAATCTACCGAACCCTAAACTACTGCCCATGTTCACCTAGCAGTAGATAAAGTGCTCAGACTGGTACAAGCATTGACTATTAGGGAAAAATCTTCCATGGCTACTTCTGGGGCTTAACTCTGCTACTTCACCTAGGAGAATGTGACACTAGAGCAAGGAAACTCTCTTTGTATTATTCATTTATCATGTTTGGATTTATATTCATATTTGTCCTGCGGGGAACCCAAGTCAGCTTATGGAATTCTCCTCCACTCCTATTTTCTCATCTCAACAACAATCCTGTGAGGTAGGCCAGGCCGGGAGTAGGCGTCTGGCCCACAAGCACCCAGGGCTACATGGTGGAGCAGGGGCTACAACCGGAGCCTTCCAGACCCCAGTCAGATGCTCCAACCCCTAGGTCACATTCTTCCTCTTTTAAAAAGAAATGTGTATTTTGGGAGGAAATGGTAAGTGAAAATTCCCTTCGTCTTGGTAGGAAAGGGAAGTTGCTTTTTTACTTATTCCTTAGTTTTTTACTTATTCCGGGATTGGCAAGATGCCTCTATGCTCGTGAAGATGCGTCGAAGAAGCTGCTGCTGAGCTCCGTTTAGAAACGGAGAGCAGCAGCCATGTCTGGTTTGCTAATGGGAATTCAATGGTTTTACCTTCACGGAGGAGGCCAGGAGCACCGTCTTCCAAGAAGCTATTTGAGTGCAACCAGAATCCTTCTTCGTGCAAGTGATAGTAACACAGCGACATGGAATTTTGCTCCAGCCGTGGTTTCTTCTGGCTATACATAAGGAAAGATTATTTTCTCGGTAGATAGCTCAGCCTTCCTGAGTTGCTCCCAGCAGGGAAATAAAGAGTATTTACTGGATTTCTGTGGCACCTTTCCACCAAGAAAATAGCAGTCAAGGTGCCACCTGACTGCAAAAACATTAAAATGGCCACAACCGTGGTTAAAGGCCACAATAAAAGAAGCACTTTAAACAGCAGAGAAATGCAGGAAAGATTTCAGAATAGAAACAGCATCCAGCCAGCAGCACGTTTTGTAAGCCAAGGAATGGCTTGAACAGAACGGAGCGGGTGCGGGAGCCAACCTAAGCTGCCTTCTCAGGGGCCGCTACCAAGAAGACGCTTTCCTTGAGATGCCGCCATTCTTCTAATGGTGGCAACGCTGAAAAAAGCCCCCCCCCCAAAAGATCTTAAAATCTGGGCCAGGTACGCTTCTATGGAGGGAGGTGGTCTTTCTGGGGGTCCGACCCAAGCTGTATAATGTCAGGAAAATCTCCTTCTGCACAGGGCTGCTGCTGGGCTCTGCCCCCCAGGCTCCCACCCTGCAGCTTTGCCGTGGAGGTGGCCGAAAGCCCCCCCCCCCCCGAGCTTGGGCACCCAGCTTCCTTTCGCCCCCAGCATGTCTCCGGGGGGTGGGGATGACCCCCAGAAAGATGGGGTGCGGGGCAGGAAGGGGTGTCCTGCAGCTGCGGCACTGGCTTTTCGCTCCCCAAAGCCCCGTGGGAGGAAGAGCCCGGCTGCTCTCCTGGCGAACCCCTCGGGATGGCCGGTGGGTGTGTGTTCGCCCACGTGTTTGTGGCGGGGGGAGGGGGGGCGTCTCAGGTTTCCTGTTCTGCAATCTTCTAATTAAATTGGCACCAAGCCCTCGTGAGGCAGGTGCCGAGCGGCGGAGGCGAGGCCGGAGGGCCTGGACGAGAGGGCGGTTAGCGGACAGCAAGGCTAAGTCAGCTCAGCATCCCCAGACGTCCTGGGCCACAACGGCCATCATCCAGCCCCTTGCATGCTGCAGGGGCCTCCTGCAAATGGCTCGGAAAGCAGCCTTGCATTTTGGGGTGCAGCCCTCATAGGGGGCGGCAGGGTTTTGACCCACAAGCACCTGCTGGGTTCGGACCACACGGGAACCTGTGTCTGTGGGCAGATCTAGCTGCGGGGGGGGCACTGGGGCAGGTGATGTCTGGGTCTTGCTATGCTGTCCCCCTGAGCGCCCCCAGCCCCGCCACGGCGGAGGGCAGACTTCCTGGGGAGGGCCAAGGCGGAGCGACCGGAAGAGCTTGCCAAAGCACGGGGCTCCTTCGACAGCTGGGCCCATGTGGAGCTGCTGTCCTGCCCAAGGTGTCGCCGAAAGGTGGGCGAGCGCAGCCGCAGACGGAGGAGCTGGGCCCCCTGCCCGCGGCCGCCCCCTCACCTGGCCTCCCCTCTGCCCCCTGCAGCCCTCATCCTGCTCTTCTACCTGGTCTTCTACGGCTTCCTCACGGCGCTCTTCACGCTCACGATGTGGGTCATGCTGCAGACCGTGGATCCGTTCATCCCCAAATACCAAGACCGTCTCTCCGTGCCAGGTGAGGCTTCTGGCAGCGGCGCAGGAGGGGGGGTCTGGCGCTCGCCTCGCGGTCTCCTCCTCTGCACGTGGCTTGCGTCCTCTCACCGGCCCATTTGGGGCATGAGTGCTGGTCTGTGCATGGAGCGGATCAGCAGGTCCCTTCAGGGCGCGTGTGGGTTTCTCCCGAGGCCTGAAGGCCGCTCCCGCTCCCCACAAAACGTGGGTGCAGAGAGAAAGCAAAAGTGGCCGGAAGGGGTTCATTCTGCCCCGCTGGAGAGCTGGCTGCCTGGACCCCCTCGCCAGTGGGGGATGCCCGGCCAGGCGCTGTGCCTGCCCCGGACTGGAAGCAGGGCCGTTAACACCCATTGCTTGGCCTCGATTGTGCCTAGAAACTTGCGTAGTTCTGGAAGGGCCTGGGATGGGGATGGGGGAGGCCGCTGAGTGGGCAGAGACTGACTGGGCTACTCGGTCTCCGGAGTCCCCGCTCGCCTGCAGCCTTTGTGGGCATTAGCGCTGAAAGCAGCTGTCTCGGCTGAGGTTAGTCCCACCGGGGCTGGGAAGGCTTTAGCCGCGATTCAGAAAGGGCCGTGCGGACAGCGGCTGTCTGTGCCCAAAGCGGATTCTCAGCAAGATGCCCTGGAAAGGAGAGTCGACTAGGGCTGAGCCCCCACCGGGAGGCAGTCGCTGGGGCGCCCCACGGACTCGGCCCGCTCTCTGTTCCCCCTTTCCTGCAGGGATGATGATCCGCCCCAAGACAGAGGCGCTGGACATCACCTACAACGTCACCAACACGGAGTCCTGGGAGGGCTACGTTCGGATGCTAAATAACTTTTTGGACGGTGAGTCCGGGGGTGGGGGGCGGCACCCTCTGCCAGGCCTTCTGCCACAGCTCCTGTCTCAGCAACTCCCTCATTCCGCCCTTCCCCAGCTGCAGCCGCTAGAGGTTGGGCTGGCCGAGAATGATGGGAATTGCAGTGCAACGCATCTGGAGCGAGCCGGCCTGGGGAAGGCTGCCTCAGCAGGGAGAGACAGAGCCCCTCTTGGGGGTGAGCGTGTGAAGGTGCTCGGCGGGTTAACCAGTGGAGTGCCTTCCTGGGTGAAACGGGAAGGAGGCCCTTCCGCCACCATGTTCTCTCTCTCTCTCTCCACCCCCTTTTGATTTTTGTGGAGTTTTCTACTCCTTTTATCAAACCCACTGCAGTTCAAGCAATAAAATTCACCACGCATTTTCCAGTGAGGGTGAGACTTGTGCAGGCCCCCCTCCGCCTTCAGCGCCCCCACCTAAGTCTGTCCTATGGGGCTATGGATGCTGGCCTCCCTTGCAGGGTTGTCGTGTGGGTGGCTACAGCGCCGTAGACGTGGGCTTGCCTCCTTTGATCTGTGCTGAACGGCACACCTGGACTTTCTATGCAGGCGTTTCAGCTGTTAGAAAAGGCCCAAGACTTTTCGGCTGGGGGTCTCTGGAGCAGCTGTTGGTAGGAGGCTGCAGAGACGCTAGCCTGTTTGATCTCCTACGCCAGAACGATTCTTTATCCTTTTTTTTGGGGGGGGGGGAGCTGCAGTCCTTTGAGGATCATTTTTGCTAGAATCATTATCCCTTTTCCATGGAATGCATAATTAACTTAGGGAACTGGTTGCCATAAAATGAAAGCCGGAGGCCCTGGGGCCGAATGCTTTTAAAAGGAGATCAGACAATCTCTCAGAGGATGAATTGACCGTTGCAGCTCAGCAAAGCTTCCCGGTCCAGCGGCAACCATATCCTCAAATATCAGGTGCTGAGAGACAAACAGAAGAGGCTGTTCTCACGTTCCTATTTGCACCTAAAGTTCTCCTTGAGAAGCGCTTCTTCGTGGAAGATTAAGGGTCACATTCCCTTTAATCATAGATTCAAGATAATGAAATGCTGTAGAAGAGGATTTCATATTAGGCATAATAGCCGCTCTGTTTGTCTTCACCCTGCAGAGAGAGAGAGAGAGAGAGAGAAACAACAGCTCTTAAGGACGCGGGCCTGTGCACATTCAGACAGAAAACGGTTTCTTCTCTCTAAATGCACATAGTATCGCTCCCTTCAAAAACAGAAATTGTTTTCCAAGCATGTCAGCCCTTTGGTGGAGAGCAGAACCCCCGGCCCTGAAACAGTTCGACCCACTGGTGTTCCTTGGGTGGCTGCACCGCTTTCCCCAGCTGCCGGTCGGTGGCTTCCTAGCTCCGGGGCTGCGCCTCTCCCTTTCTGAAAGGCCGACGTTGCTCTCCTTCGGCTTAATTACTAGCAGGAAGAAACGGGGCAGCATCTTGTCCTGCCTCTTTGGCCGTTGGCTTCACTCAGGACGTGGCCCCTGGGAGCTTCTCCAAACTGGGATCCAGCCCTTGGTCTGTTGCGGGGAATATATTTTCCAGACGGTTCTCTGCCTCAACGGCACACAGTCCGGGGTGCAGGCTCAAGTCAGGTCTTTCCACGGGGAGCCTGGGGGGTCTCTGCTCAGTGCACAGGGATAAGGAAGCAGAAAGCGTCTCTCCAGGGCTCGGGCACAATCTGGCCTTCCCGCAAGCTGCCCACTTTAGCGGATTAGACCCCGGGCACTTCTGCACGCAAGACAGACAGACGCTCTGCCGCTGAGCCAGGATTGTCGCTTCGCTCTCCCCTTGCAGCTTACAATAATTCCAGGCAAGTGGCCACCAACGAGCGCTGCTTGCCGGGACGCTACAACGAGCAGCCGGACAACGGGGTGCTGAACTACCCCAAGAGGGCCTGCCAGTTCAATCGCACCGAGCTGCGGGACTGCTCGGGCCTCAACGACACTAACTACGGCTACCGGGAAGGGCGCCCCTGCATCCTCGTCAAAATGAACCGGGTAGGTTGCGAGCTGCGGGTTTCATCCCGTGGGTCTGTGACCGGCCGGAGATGCGCAATCGTGGCCAAAAGCCCTCCTCTGGGCGGGAGGGTTGGAAGGGGGGGCTTCAGTCCTCGGCACGTCGTGAACTAGAAGAGGCAGAAGTGGCCGATCTTCCAGTCAGGAGGCAAAGAGCATTCTGCTGTTCTGTTGGGGGCTGCCCCCCAAGAGTGCTTAGCACTGGGGGGGCAGGGGAGGGTGAGGATGCACCATTGCCAGTGTGACCCCCTGATCCCTTTTCTCTTCCTTTGCAGGTCATCAACTTCTACGCAGGAGCCAACCAGACCATGAACGTCACCTGCATGGCGAAGGTAGAAGCTCGGCATGTGGGGTGTCTTGCCCCCCCTTCTCCCTCCCTCCCTCTCTCTCTCTCGCTCTCCTCTCTCTCTCCTCTCTCTCTCGTCATGCATGTGTTCATTCTCTTAACCTTCCGCTGTCTCTTGCCTCTCTTTCTCTGGAAAAAATTACCTGTGCGCTCAGAGACCCAAGTCCAAGCATGAGGTAAGGGCTTATCTCGCCAAAACCGTAGAGGATCAGCTAGAATTGCTTGGAGAGATCGTGCCTAGCGGGGTCATAGAGCCGAGGGGCGCGACTCCTGCCTCCCCCCGCCCTCGATTCTGCTTTGCTCCGGGAGACCGCAGCCGGTCCCGGCACCCCGCGCTCCTGCGCTGCCCGTGCCCCAGCCGGCTCAGCTTGGCCTCGCTTTGGGCAAGCTAGCAGTCCTCCTGCGTGACAAGCCCGTGCGCCCCCATGCCTCTCCCGCTCCAGACAGGTCACCCCTCTCCCCTCTCCAGCGGCCCCTTGTCCAGCCCCCCCCGCAGCCCCCCTTTCAGACATAAGGCTGGTCGGCAGCGCCGCAAGCCATTCCCTGGACTCCAGCATCCCTGCCATCAGCAGCAAATGCTCCAGCAACCCGGTTTCTGGCCACAGCCGGAAACATCCACCTGGTAGCTTCGTGCAGGTTGTGCTTTGTGTGTCCAGGATGGGAATCTCGCATTTAAGCGTCTTAAGGAACTGTGGCTCCTCCGTTTGCTCGGGCTCCATTGGTTGATTATTTCGCCTCTAAATTCATCCCAGGCCAAAATAGATAATGCTTTGCAGATGCAGCTGCCCTCTTGTCTGGCACCCTTATTCTAGAGTAGTCCTGGACCCCGACTGGGGGTTTACCTCCCCTCCCACAATGGGCCTATCCAAGTTTTTAAATTTTGCTTTGCAAAATGCAGACCCTATATTTTGCTTTATGGACTACAGTTTTGCAAGGTCAGGTGCAAGCAGGGGGGATTAGACTGGGCTCAGAACAGGGTCGAAGCAATGTCTGTTTTGAACCTCGGTATCTTTTAATGGGGGCGCCATCCCTGCTTCCCTTGGGAAGCTGCTTCCAGTTCTCTCACTCGGCATTCTAAACTAAACCAGTAAAATGAATAAATAATGAACCGATTTCCCGGGCAAATTGAGTTGCCGCTACCTTTGATCTTCTGGGAATCGAACTATTCGAAGGCCGCCATTTATTTATCTTTTAATGAACTCTCCGATGTGGCACTAGCGTGAGCAGCGTTAATATACATCCAGTAGACAAATCCGTCCCCCAGAATTGGCCCTTCGCTTTCCATCGTCTACCCCAACCGTAGTCTTTCATTAGCCATCTAAGGGGGTGTATATCTTGCACTGAAAAATAAGAAAATACCCTGCACCAGGGAAAGCTGGAATTTGGCATGCAGAAATCAAACCAGGTGTCTGTCTTGTTTCATTTTTTGGTCTAATCCTAGCGAAGGGACAGACTGTGAATGATGCCATGGGCTCGGTTCTCTTCCTTACCAAACTGCAAAGAGTCCTTTCTGCTAACTGCCCCCCCCCCGCCCCCCACGGCCACATTCCTTCCTTCTGGGATTGTGAGCTGGCTGGCAGGTGCCCGGGCATTGCCCAGCTGCGCAATGAGGACTAGAATCTTGCTTTTTTCGAGTTGGTGTTCCCATGAACCAAGGGTGGAAATATCACATTCCATTCCGACTGTGCAGTTGCAGAATACACATGCCCTCGTATTAATCCGTGCGTTCTGTGCACGGATTATAGGCTGTCTTTTCTTCATGGTTTTTGTTTCCTCTTTGTCCCTCACTCCCCAAGTCTATTCATTTACTCATTCAGTCTGTCTCTTTCTTCTACGTTTCCCTCAGAAGAAGGAAAAAAACCTTCAGGATGAACGAGTAAGAACAAAGCTGGGGGGGGTCTGGGGGGGCGCCTCCTGGGCACTGAAGGCACCCAGTGAGTGGCAGAGGCTGTGGGTGGGATGCACTCTGGAGCAGCCGTTCCATGGGATCGGTGGGTTGGGTGTGGATCGGGTGGAAGAGGACGCGGGACGGGGGCCAGGGCAAGGACAGGGACGTCGGGGGCGAGGGAATTAAAAACCGGTCATTTTGCTTCCCGCAGAGAGAGGAAGATGCACAGAAGCTTGGAGAGATAGAGATGTTCCCACCCAACGGGAACATCGACCTGATGTACTTCCCCTACTATGGGAAAAAAGTCCATGTGAGTGCCTGTGCCATGGGGGCGTCCACGGGGGGATTGCGTGGCCTTGTCTTGCGTGGCCGTGGGAGGAGACTGGGTGGGAAGAGCTGGATGTGGCCGTGACTCAGGCTGAGATCTTTTGGAGTTGCCCCTTCGCTCAGCGAATGCTGGAGGCGAAGGTTGCCCGTTCCCGAGAGCAGAATTCCCATGAACCCAAACGGTAATGCTCCCGAAGAAACCCCACGTGAGAGCCGAGGGGGGAATTCTGGTTGGCACCTGGGCTGGGGTTCAAGAGACCTGCACCCTGGTTGCATGGAGCTCGCTGGCTGAGTTGGGGCCAGGCTGCCCTACCTCACAGGGCTGTTGCGAGGACATCGCCTTAAGCGTCGGAAAGCGCTGAAGCGGCTTCCCCCAATTCGGCATTTCCCGGATGGGTGGACCACATCTCCCATAATTCCCAGCCAGCTAATGTAACATGAACCAAGGATACCGATGACAACTACGGAGACGAAGTTGTGTCGTTGAATAATAGTTTCTCGCAGCCCAAGTTCCTCCATCGCCCTGAGAGGTCAGCCCGTCCTGCGCGATTCCTCCACCTTCAAAGGGGTGTGCGGAGAGCCAGGACTCTTTCAGAATGACCCTCCCCAATTTGCCCCGGCATTCACTCCCCTCTCCCCTCTTCCAACCCCCCCAGCTAAACTACACCCAGCCAGTCGTGGCCGTGAAGTTTCTCAACCTCACCTTCAATTTCGACCACCACGTGGAGTGCAAGATCAACGCAGCCAACATCGCCACGACCGACGAGCGGGACAGGTTTGCCGGCCGCGTGGCTTTCAAGATTCGGGTGAACAAGGACTAGGCGTCCGCGCGCTTCCTCCTTCCTTCCTGCGCGGCACCGCTGTCGACGGCGCATTCCCCCGGGGGCCGCCGGTGCCCAGACAGGGCCGAGGGCAGTGGGCGCCCGGCTGGGGAAGGAAGGGGGCTCGGTGGTGCGTGCGTGGAGCTCGGCCGCTGCTGCTCGTCCTAGGGGCACTAACCTTTGCTATTAGACAATCCCACCCCCTCGACCCCGGCCCTGGTTCGGTTGTGCTCCCCCCACCCCGCGCCCCGGCCCTGCCGCCTCCCCTCCCCTCCCCTCCCGAGACCCGGAATGCTACTTCAGCTTGTTCTAACCTCACGAGTCGCGTCATCCCTTCTCGCCCACGCCTGGTCTGTGGGGAGCTCAGAGGCTGTGACCCCTCCCTTGACCCCCAGAGATATTTCCTAATATAATAATAAATGTACATAGATATTTTTATATATATTAAAAATTAAGGTACTGCTGAATCCTCTTGATCTTTCCTGCTCTCCCACACGCCCCTTTTCGGCACTGTTCCATTGCCGTGTGTTCTCCAAATTTCCTCCCCGTCTCATCCGTCCTGCCGGAACCCTTTTCAGCTTCTCGCGCGCAGACCTGGCGCTCCGCACGCCAAGCCGGGGCCCCTCTTGTTCTCCTTGTCTCCCGAGCCTTAGCGCTGGCCATCGTCTTCCTCTCCCGCGAAGGCCTGCCAAGATGTGCAGAGGAGTCTGTGCAAGGGGGCCCAGGTGGTCTTGGCCACAATCCTGGACGCGTTTCGCTGGGAATATGCCCCGCTGGACACACTGGGACATACTTCCGAGTAGACCTGCCCAGGGTTGCACTGTTCATGGAGCGAGAAGCGCGGTGGCCGCCCCTTTACGACGGGCTGCTTCTGCCCACGAGCGATGCGGAGGCCGACCCAACAGGTGTGTCCCCGTCCAGACTAAGGAACAATCAACAAAAGAACACACAACTAAAGACCACACAACCACGCTGCTGCCCAGCTCAAGGCACCTTTCTCCTTCGGCTCGCGCATGGCCACAACCCCTGCCCTGTTCTCAGCCGCAAATTGCTTTTGGACGCAGAAGGGAAGGTTTCTCTGTCCAGTTTGTTTTCCTAGCATGGCACTGTGAATGCGGTTTGTCCGTCTCGAGCGTCCAGCCCTCTCCCAATCCTTTTTCCTCTTCTTTCCAAATAGGAACTGCTCTGACCCCGTTCATTCTTGAGTGTACAGTTGTTTTAATCTGTTATTATAGTGGCACTTTGCACTAAGATAATATATAAAAAGTAAAACTACTGTTTCCACCATAGCTGAGGGGGGACTGAATCCAGTAATGCCTCTTTAGTGACCTTAATTAACTGACAGAGAGTTTTGATTCTCTGGGCTCTGTCTCCCTGACCGTTAATATTTGTTCAACAAAACAGGTGTGTTTTAAAGAAGCTGAATTTAGCAAAGGAGGTTTTTCAACTTCCCTTGCTTTTTATTTTTAATAATTATTAAATTTTACCCCTTTACCTTTAAGGTTGCATCTTTGAGAAGTCGTTACATGTATGAATGGAAGACATAACTTAAATTCTTTGGCTTTTTAACTTTTTTGATTTTTTTTTTTTTTTGGTCTTGGTTTTTATTTGCAGAATTATTTAATTGCCTGTATCAGATTTACTGTAAAATATGAGAAATAAAACTTTAAAAATGTGGCTGAGTGCTGAATTCTTAGGAGTGCAAGTGTGTGTGAAAAGAAGCATTGGTTCTAAGAGTGCCACTGTGTCGGAAAGCTTTCTGAAGCAATGCAAAAGGAAATATTTAAAAGCCATGTTTTTGTGGAACGCGGATAAAAAGCCTGCAAAACTGGTCAAAAAGTATTTGAGACCAGTCTTCTAATTGATTGCTAGTGTTGAGAAGCGGCAGACTCAGACACACAGAGGGTGTTCCGTCGAGCAAATATTGCTTTTAATTCAGACATAAGAGGAAAAATACATGCACGGGTAGTCAACTGAAGCAGACTATGGAGAATTCAACTGTACGAGATGGTTTTTATCTTGCAAGAAGCAAAAGGTCGAATTGGTTAAGACAAGGGCCAAAGGGGGAAGTGTCGGGGCCGACTTGCATGTGTGTATGTGTACTTCCAAGGAACTGGGAGGAGCACTGTGTTTTCCTGCTCAGCTCAGGCTGTCCTGGCTTGTCGCTTCCGGGTTGGGGGTCTGACTTTCTGGGGTCTTTGCAGCCAAGGCCCGTCGGGCTGGGCTGTGCTCTCCCGTTCACCTGAGCTGGAATGAAATACTGACAACACAAGAACCCCACTCAGGGGCAGAGCATCGCGAGTTATGTCGTCCGGACCCGGCCAAGATAGCAAACCCTGGGGAACGAACTGCAGTTTGCAACCCGGCGATGACCCCCGGATTCCTCTTGGGGGGTTCTCCGTGGCCAGCAAGGTGTGGCTTGTCAGCACGAGCCAGCTCCGGATTTGACAACAATCTACCCGCAGCCCTCAAATGTGGGTTCTTGTGTGGGCTGGATCCAGCCATTTATTGCCTTGTGTGGGAAACAAGACGCCACTGGCCCGTAAGCGGCTTTCTTTCTCGTCACTCCACCACTTTGAACGAGTGCGATGGAGTTGTGTGTGTGCCCAGACAGAGTGCCCATGATGCAGAGTTTGGTTTCCGCTTGGATCCGGCATGGTACCATCCTAGGCCAAAGGGGCAGGGAGCGCCCGTTTGGCGGGGCCATGTTTCCCGGGGAGACGGGACCGACGCCACGTGGATTTTGCACCCCGAGGCTCCTGCTTTGGGTAGCAGCTCCCTTTCTGGGCTTTCTTTTCGCCCGCTGCTGCACCGCCCAGGCCTGGTGATGTGAGGCGCTCCTTGCAGGGCCTCTCGGTGCCCATCTGCGCCAGCGCTATTCGTGGCACCATGAGCCGCCCTCGAGCCCGTGGCCACCCCATCTTGTTACACGCGCCTGTGTTTTGCTGCATTTCTGACCTGGGAATCGAAACGGAAGCCTCAGGGAGCGAGCGGTGGGGTTGTAAACACGGCGCTTGCGGCAGGCGACTGGAGACAAGTAGCTAAGCAGCACGCGCACCGGTGCCGCTCTCGTGTTGCTGGGACCATAATTGCAGGGCTGTCACTTCCTCCTGGGAGCGAGGCCATTTCGCAGACTTCAGGAAAACACTTTGCCTTCCTTCTTCCCATGTTTTGTGACGAGAAAAGCCAGGCTGGAGGAGATCTAGGTTCCTCAGCACCTTAGGAATTACAGTTTTCGTGATCCCGTTTGTGGAAAGGTCTTTGCTATGGACAGTCCCTTTCGCTACAGTCTTGGTGAAAGCAGCCACAATTCATGGCTTTGTGGGTTTGTCCCCAGAGGAGGTGGGGTGCCCCTGTGTGTGTGTGTGGGGGGGAATTCACACGACTGGAGGGCATTCCTGGAGACATCTGGCTACCCTTTTAGGACCCACCCCAGTGTCACCCAGGAAAGCGATCCCAAGCGGGTGCCTGCAGGCAAAAACGGTTTATTCTATTTTCTCTCCTGCTCAGGCATGTTCCTGTTCTAGCAATTATGTGCAGGTTTCAACAGAAATGGGCCAGAACTCCAAGCAAGCATCTATTTGATACCAGGGTGCCAACCTCCCCTCCGTTCAGACAGCAAAACAATAGTACGACTCTCAGTTCCTTGCGTGACAGAAGGTCAGCTTTTATCATGCCAATTTCATGCCATCTGTCTTTTCACTGCCAGAATGGCACAGGAAATGCACTTGCTCATTTCGATGACGTGGGGATGCGATTTAAAGGCGTGCACGGCAGTAACTATCAAAGGCGCTTGCAGCATCAAACTGCTCCGTACCGTGGTCCTCCATCCAAAAAGAAACATCTGCTGGTCGGGGCCAAAACATATGTTTGAAAGAAACATGTGCTGCTCTGCATTAAAAGCAATTAGCTAAATTACCCAAGAGAGACGCCGTAGTGTTCAAAAGGCTTGAAACAACTTTGCTGAATAGGATGCCGACCAAGGTCCGCAGCCACGACAGGGAGGCATTTGCTGGTGTCCCCAGAGCGGTTTCTCGGGTTCCCAAACACACCGACGGGTCTCCAGAGCCACCTCCGTTCGCGCCGCTCTTCGTAACTCTCCGGAATAATTTGGGCTTTGCAGGCTTGCGCTGCTGCGAAGCACCGTCACGTCGCTTTGCCCGGCAGAAGTGCCATGGGAGGAGGAAGGCCTGCCCCTCAGTCTGGAGGGCAACCGGGGGGCTTTTGCTGCTGGCCGGAGGCCGTGGGGTGGGAGACCCCAGACCCCTGGCAGCCTTCCATGTGCAGAACAGCGCCCCCCCAGTCCGCGCGGGCCCTGCGGGACGGCCTTCGCTGCGCAGAGCAGGCATCAGCACCCGGCAGCACCGGAGACAGCTCCCAAAAGTGGGACGGTCTCCATGGCAACGGGAGCAGGCTCTGAAGAAGCAGGGTTGCTTTGGCAACGGGAGCCCTCGCTATTCATCGCGGGCGAGGGTTGCTAGGACGGGTGGGGGGAGTGTTCATGCTGCCACTTGGCCGGGGGCCCTGGGGGGCCCTCGGGGAGCCCCCACTGCTGACACCCCCTGTGCATCAGCATCGTGTGGGGGGGGCGAGGAAGCACCAACCCCATTTGGCTGCTCTGGGATGCGTCCCATTTAAGTGAAGAATAGAATGTTGCCCTTCTAATGCACCTTCTACTGGCTGAGGGACGCGCAAGCTTTAAGGTGGCACAGAATTCTTAATCTGACCAAAGAAAAGTAGGTTAAGGCCCAATCCTGCACCAGTTTAGAGGAGGAAAAACCTTTCAACTCCCGGCGCGCATGCTAGGAGTGGAGGCCTTCTTTTCCACCTAAGGTTGCACATGCTTGTGTCCCCGGTCAGCTGCTGCAGTGCAGCTGTCTCTGCTCTATTCCATTTTGCCTGATGAGGAGTTCTGTGTTACCTGCCAACATGCATGCACCAGCACTGGAACCAGTTGAAGCTACAAGGCAGTATAGGCTTCCCTTCGCTTTGGTCTCCCG